TTATGAACTCTTATGGGAACCGGGGAAACAATAATCCTTCTAATCAACAAAGGTGGAACCAAGGGAGCAATTGGAAGCCACAACCCCAATCCGGAGCACCTAATTTTGGGCCGTCCAAGGAAACCACCATGGAAGATATGATGCAATTCATATCCAAGAGCATGGAAAGCATGAAGGCTCAAAATGAAGAGAACCATAGTAGAGTGGAGGCATCCATTGGGAATCTCCACTCTCAATTCAACAAGTTGGATCTTCGCTTTGAAGATCAAAATATAAAGCTCAACCAACGCATCGACACCATTGAGCAATATACCAAGGCGTCCATTCGAAATCTTGAAGTTCAATTGGGGCAACTCGCCCAAAAAGTGAGTTCTAGAGAGCAAGGTAAATTCCCTACAACTACGGAGGTAAACCCGAGGGAGAGCGTCATGGCCATTACCACAAGAAGTGGGAGGCAAACGGAGGATCCCAAGATGCCGGAGAGAAGAAAGACACCGGAGGAACAAGAAGAGGTTTCACATACACCGTTGCCACCTATTATGCCTCAATATGTTCCTCCCATCCCTTATCCACAAAAGTTGAAGAAGAAAGGAGATGAGAAGAAACACAAGAAAATTCTTGATATTTTCAAGAAATTGAGCATCAACATACCTTTTGCGGAGGCCATTGCGGAGATTCCATCATACGCAAAATTTCTCAAAGGCATCATCTCCAACAAAAAGAAGTTAGAGGAATTCGCAACTGTAGCACTAACGGAGGAATGTAGTGCCATTATTCAAAACAAACTTCCTCCAAAACTCAAAGACCCCGGAAGCTTTACTATTCCATGCTCTATTGGAAAAATCAGGGAGGTAAGGTCTCTTTGTGACCTTGGTGCTAGCATAAATCTTATGCCCTACTCCCTATTTAAAAAGCTAAGTGTGGGGGAACTCCAACCAACAACGGTTGCTTTGCAATTAGCGGATAGAACAATCCGCTATCCGATAGGCATCATGGAGGACGTCCTTGTCAAAGTAGGAAAATTCTACTTTCCGGTAGATTTTCTTGTTTTAGACATGGAAGAGATGGAGGTTCCCGTCATCCTTGGGAGATCATTTTTGGCCACTTCCGCAGCCGTCATTGATGTGCAAGCAGGCACCGTAAAGCTAAGAGTGGGAGGAGACGATGAAACATTCAATGTATGGAAAACACAATCCATACCAACTCAAAACATGGAGGTCAACACAAATCCTTCCATCCCTCCAACACACCACGAGAATGAAAAGAATGGACGGACAACTCCATGGCCTCCCCATGATCTCAAAAAGGTAACATTGGTCAAACGTCTTCGGGAGCCCAATCACACGTGAGAGGTATGTTGCGTCCGGCCTATGACGTTAAACTGAGCGCTAATTGGGAGGCAACCCAACAAATTCAATTATAAATAAATATGTTTAGTTAAATACATATTCATATTTATTTATAATTGAAACCCAAAAAAAAAAAACAAAAAAAAAAACAAAAACAAAAAAAAGCAAAAAAAAAAAAAGAAAAAAAAACAGAAAAAAAAAGCAAAAAAAAAGCATCATCTAAACTCATGTATCGTGCATCTCCTACTCTCACAAGACGGCTCATTCCGCTATTGAAGATTTCATCCTCCATTACATCCTCCAATGTACATTGAGGACAATGTATCTCAAGTGTGGGGGGTGCATTTCATGGTTAGTTAAACAAATTTTGTGTGCAAAAATAATTTTTTTTAGGAAGGTAAAATTTTCATATTTCTCTTTTTAACGGGTATTTGGTTGAGAAAGTTTTTTTTTAATTATTTACAAAAACCTATCATTTTTTAGACTACTCTTTACTCTTGAAAATTCTTCCAAAAAAATAAATTCTTGTGACTAGAAAGCATCTCCTTCCTTCATTTCCAAAAATGGTCAAATACTACATTCAAGCACCATTTTGGAACACAAAACCCACTCTCACACCTCATCAAATAAATTGGCATCATCAAATGACTTTCAGTAAATACTAGTTGAAGACCTTTTCAAATGAGTTTGAAAAAAAAAAAAAAAAAAAAAAACTCATGGTCTCATCTAGGAAGTTCAATTGATTCATACAACTTAAAAGTCAAAAACACCAAAAAGCCATCCCACTCACCCAAAAAAAACATAGTCACAAATCATTCCTTTATTTTCAAGAGTATAAGTAGTTTTCTAAATCTAAATGATACTTTTTGTGTTTAATTGAAAAAATGGTTTTTGGACCGAGAATGATAAAAGAGTTTATATGTCATTTTTTATCTCTTAAAAATTGATTTATTTTTGTTCATATATTGTTGTTGAAACTAACCAAGGCATCCAAAGGTGAAGAAATTGCTTGAGGACAAGCAATGTTCAAGTGTGGGGGGATTTGATAGCCGTTATATTTACTTGTGTTTAACATAAGTATTTATAAGTATTTGTTGAAGAAAAGAAGAGAAATCGGGCAAATACCTCCAGAATGAGAGCTAGAGCATAAAACATTGTGATGCATGGCTTTTTGGACCAAGAGAATGACGTTATGTCCATAATTTGAGTATACCGTATTGTAGAGAATTCGAAATCACTCGATTCGAGTTTCATGTGAATGCTAACTCAATAAGGTACAAATGTTATGAAGACGTCATGGCCAAAATATGAAGGGAACAAGACTCAATCAACCAACAAAGTCAGATGTTGCTGGTGGGATTTCAGGATGCATACCTCTCAGTGTTTTATCCATATCGTTTGATTGGCTGAATAAAATCACGTCATTCAAGTTTTGGTGGATAGAAGACTTCATTAGCTACAACTTTGATGAAGGACTCATGTCCAAATTCATAGCGGAACATCCCCAAAATCCCAGGACAAAACCGGCGCCGGAATTTCACCAAACCGGCGCCGGTTGCATTTAATCCGTTATTCTCCCGGTCGGCCGAAGTATAACCGGCGCCGGTTTTACCCTATAACCGGCGCCGGTTATGGTGTTTTTCACTATTATTCCATCTCCGAAGTAAAACCGGCGCCGGTCAAGCCTAAAACCGGCGCCGGTTAAGCCCGAATCTGCATAAAACACAAAGACGTGCAGCCATATTTTGATGGGAAAACTCCACTTTCCTTATGATCTGATCAAATATATCTTCCATGCCTGATTGTTGGGCTTGAATAGACTAAAAGATGCCAATCTTTAGCCTATATAAAGCCCCCAATTCATCAAACAAGATCATCATTCCATTCTTGAAGATTAAATTTCAGTTTTTATATTTCCTTTTTGCATTTTCTTGAAGTGTTGGAGAAGAAGCCATTTCTCTCCTCTACAATTGGTTCTAGGTATTATTTCTTGTATGTTATTGTATTTCATTATTCTTAGTTACACTTTTGTAATTAATATGAGCTCAAGGAGCTAAGTTCTTAGCTAAGGCTAGGGATGAACTTCTATGCCCACTAGGTGTTTGATAAAAGTTCTAAACCAATAAATTGTGATTTATCCTTTACATTTTGATTGTTTATGACTATGGTGTACAACATAGAAGTATGTTAAACTTAGTTTATGCTTGCAATTAACGTTGAGGTCTAAACTATGAACATTAAAGGATAAACATATATATTACCGAGAATAGAAATATATCCGGTATTATATGATACGGGTGTGATGTCTTGATATTCAACGGGGTTTTCGGTAGATGAATGTAAGCCGTAACGGGACTTACACGTAACGAAAACCACGCTCTCGCTGCCTTAACCGGAGTTGAGAATATATTAGCGACATCGTATTCATAATTGTTGGTAAAGAACTAATATTCAACCCTATTAAAGCATTTAAGTGATTCCCGAAGCCTTAGTTGTTGTTATCAATCACTTTAACCAAATTAATTTAAGTTATATCTCTGAAAATTAAAAAGAAGAACCAAGTTGTTGTTTTCACAACAACACACAACTCAAAATCCCTGCACTTTACTCATTTATTTATTTAAAGTCATCTACTCTCGGACTAAATTAAACAACGTTTCCCTGTGGATTCGACCCGGTATTTTACCGGAATTTATTACTATATCGGCACTTGTACACTTGCAAGTTTAGCCCGGTCAGTTGGTTGTTGTTTTCCCTTTGTCACAGGACTTCATATGTTTTATTGGCATCCCGTATCCGTATGAACGCCCCAAGCAACACTCTTTCTTGCACCACCTGCTAGTTGCCCACCACAGTCCGGTCTTCGGGTCCTTCCACTTGTCAAAATTGTTTTGCATAAGGGAAGATGTACTTTCCATATTTAAAATGGTATATGTATAAGTAGGAATGTAGGATAATAAGAGAAAATGAAGATGGAGAAGAGTTTGAGAAGAATTGGAGAAGAGGTGTAGAAAAATGTTAGAAAATAGATGTATTTATAGATGTTTTTGAACCCCACTCCCCACACCACCACCCCCGGGACCCCCCTGCCCCCCACCCATAGCCCCAACGGCTATATAGCCGTTTGGGAGGTTTGAATTAATTTTTTTTTTTAAGTTATACACATATTGTAAAATAAATTAATTAATTTAATGAATTAAGTAAAACTAAAACTATTTGTACTTAGAAAAGTGGTTTGATTTATAATTTACAAATGTTACAAAATAGGTGTATAAGTATTTAAACAAATTACATATTGTAAATGTGTTTTTAATTTAAAAACCGGCTTTATATTTTAGAAAACTAATTTTAAGTCGTTAGATTGTAACCAATTAATTAATTTGAGAAGTGCTACATATGAAAAAGTGAACACATATTTATTTGAAATATGAAGTACAAGTTTACAAATTAATTTGAAGTACAACTACAAATTTACAATTTTGAAATATGAAGTACAAGTTTACAATTTTGAAATATGAAGTACAAGTATAAATAAATTTGACAAGTGCTATAAAATACATTTTATAATAAATTCTAAAATACTAATCAATCGGAATCTCCGGCATAGGTAGAGCCACCATCGGTTGTTGAGTCATCCATAAAATCTTGGGAGGGGGGTGATGCTCAATTCTTGAGTTCTACGTGCGGCCTTCAACCAATCGTGGTAGCATATAAGCGTCTCAAGAGACTCCGCGCTCAATCTCGATCTAGATGCCGTTAGGACGTTGCCGGCCGAACTAAATTCTTGTTCCACAGCAACTGTTGAAACCGGCATTGATAGTACTTGCTTAGCCATCCGTGCTAAAATCGGGAACGTTCTTTCTTTTGACTTCCACCAGTCTAGAACGTCAAAGTCATCATTTTCTTAAATACATCATTATCTCATTCAATGCGCTTTGTTCAGTGACGTGAGTTGTTTTAGTTTTTTTCATAAGATTGCCAAATGCAGATTTAAAAATCGATTTTCCTTTAGATGAAGATGTTCGTGACGGGGGAGGGGGAGCGTTGCTATATTGTGCACGAAACTCATTAAATAAGGCATAGAATAAAGTACTAACCTCGTTGTATTCCGTTTTCGGATCTATGGGGTTATCGTCATACATTGGAAATTCACCGAAAAACGCAAGATAATAGAAGTTGAAACAATCTTCCAAATTAGCAAGTCTATACCGAGGATCGAGAATAAATGCAATACCATAAATATGGGGAATATGCACATAATATTTTAAAAACTTTTCCTTCATATGATCACAAAAATAATGAACGAAAACGGCATTATGAAATTCTTTAAAAGCATCGGCGAGATTAACAGCTTGTGGAATAAATTGGTTTGCGGTAGGTTTATAAACATGACTAAAAGTTTCAGTAGCATTAAAAAAATATATCAAAACATTACAAATTTTTTCGCAAGTGTCGATCTCAGCCGCGTTTATAATATAGTTATCATGTTCTTTTAAAAAAGCAGGAAAATGTTCTTTATATCTAAGAACAACTTTAAGTAATTTATAAGTACTATTCCAACGAATACTCAAATCTTTAGGAAAAGCAACATATCTCACACCTCTTTCAGTCAAATAACTTTGCCATTTTAATCTAAGTTGACCATTACCCCAAATACGTCTAATCCCCCCCTTTATTACCTCCATGAAATCTCCTAACGCTTTTAAACCGTCTTGCACACATAAATTTATAACATGACATGCACAGCGTTGATGAAAAAATCTACCCATCAAAGAATTGGCACCACACAACTCACGCAATCTAGGTATAGCAGCAGTATTATTAGTAGCATTATCGAAACCAATAGCAAACACCTTATCAATCAAATTATACTCGATTAAAATATGCTCAATCAAAATATAAATATGTTCAGCGGTGTGACGATCATTAAATTCACGAAAAGCAAGAACACGTTTATGCATATTCCAATCCTCATCAATATAATGTGCAGTCAGACCCAAATAATATAAATGATGAAAATCATCCTCCCATATGTCAGAACAAATAGTAACACGCCCATCAAAGTTTGCAAAACAAATTTGTAACCTTTCCTTTTCCGCATTATAAAGCCTTATTATTTCTTTCTTAACAGTTTTGCGACTATAATTTCTAAATTGAGGATTTAAACTACCTTGTGCATAATCTCTTAAAGCAAGACTTTCAAAAAACAAATAAGGCAATTTTTCTTCACAAATTAAGTTAGCCATACCAGTCAAATTTTGTGCATCATTGTAGGAGAAATTACCAAAAGGTTGAGAATTCGCAAACCTCGATATTTGAGTTTGCTTCCCCGTTCCGCCGCCTAATTTTGCATACTCCACGGGGTGCTTTGCCTTAAGATGCCTTGCGGCGGATCCGTATCCGCCGGAGGTTCCCAAACTATAATTGTTGTTGCACCACTTGCAAGTTGCGTGCCAATAGCCGGTTTGTGGGTCCTTCCATTTATCAAAATTATTTTTCATTAGTTCAGACTTACTTCTTTTATTACCGGTGGCGGTTTGAGATGAGGCAGGCGCGTCGGCGTCGTGGCTGCCGGCACCCTCCTCCTCGGCCGTCTCTGGTTCCAATTTCTCCGCATCTTCATCCTCAAGCTCCTCTTCGTCAATGGTCGTCGGCATTTGTTGTTGTTGTAGAAAGCGGTTATTATGTCGGGCCAATTCTTGTTGAAGTTGTTCTTCGGACATCGCATCTCCATCCCGCCTTTGGTAACCCGTTTCAAAATCATCTCGGCTTTGAGATGAAGAACCGGCAAGTTCTTTACCTTTGCGGGATTTCTTCCTCCCAATCTCGTTCCTTCGATTGCGTTGGAGGTTACCCAAATCAACCGAATATCTACCACCTTCCATGTTAAAAATGTAACAAATATTAATTGACAACCAATATAATAATGGATACAAAACTAATGCAACTAATTAAAACTATTTTAATTAATACTTCAAACTAATTTAGTGCAAAGTAGAATTAATGTGTGACTTTAAAATTAAAATTATACCAACTTTTGAAGTACTTTAATTTAGTAAAAACTACTTAAATAAAATGTTAAGTACTTTAATTAAATGATTGAACTACTATTTCTTCCTACAAATATAAATGGAAAATAAGAAAATGTGACTTTAACTATAATGAATTAATGACAATTAACTAGTTTATTGAAGTAGAGTTGTTTTAACAATTAATGAGAATACTAATGAAGTAAATAACTAGTATAATGAAAAATGTAACAACAATGCTAATTAACTAATTAACTAGTATAATGACAAATGTAACAACAATGCTAATAAACTAATTAACTAGTATAATGAAATATGTAACAATAATGGTAATGAACTAATTAACTATTATAATAATAAATATAACAAGAATGCTAATTAACTAATTAACTATACAATACTAGTTATAGTAAGTAATATATAATATAATGTTTATAGTATATAATATATAAGTATACTACTATAAGATGAGTAATACACTTATATTTTATACTTTAATATATAAAGTATATATTAAGTAGATGTAGAATGTATGTATTAAGTGGATATAATAATTGTATAAGAATTAAATATTAGAGTATAATGGAGAATTGGAGATTGGAAAATAAGAAAATAAGTATATATAAAATAGATATTATAAAGTATATATAAAAGTATATATTATAAAATAAGTATATATAAAATAGATATTATTAAGTAGAGAAGTAGATATTATTATGTATTAAGTATATAGTAATAGTTTATAAAGTATATTTAATACTTTATTATATAAAGTATATATTAAGTAGATGTAGTATGTATGTATGTATTAAGAAATATAAGTAGAGATTAAGTAGATAAGAAATATAAGTAATATAGTATATGTATTTATAAGTAGATAATTAATATATAAATAGATATAATAATTGTATAAATATTAAATAGTAAAATAAAATATAGAGGAGAATAAGAGAATTTGAGAAGATGAATATGGAGAATTGGAGATGAGTAGAGAGTAGGATTTAGGGAGAGTTGGAGAAGAGGTGTGAAAAAATGTTTAAAATTAGGAGTATTTATAGGTTTTTTTAACCCCCACCCCCCCCACCCCCCCACCCCCACCCCACCCCACCCCCAAACACCCCGGAATCCCCCTGGTACCCCCCCCCCCCCCCCAATGGCTATATAGCCGTTTGGGAAGTGGTTGTTGAGCCAAAAGGTTTTTTTCAAATTAAAATGATTTTTTTTTAAATCTGACCGTTAGGCCCGGGCCTCCAAAAACCAGACCCGAGCCCGGACCCGCTAACCCAACCGGTTCTGAGCCCGAACCGGACCCGGACCCGAGAACCGGGCCGGTTCCGGGCCCGTACAGTGACGGGCCGGGCGGCCCGAACCGGGTCCAAGCCTACGTCTAATAGGCTCCCTCTTTGTATATTCGTGCATGTTTGGTAGACATAAATTCTTACCTTCCAACTTTTGTTCTATTTAAAAATTCTTAACAACTTCTAGTTGTATGTTTGGCATGCATGTTAATTAGTAAGAGCTTTTTAAAAAATAAAAGATCTTTTTGAGATGCTAAAGTGAGTAGCATCTGAGAAAAGTATGTAGTTTTTAACACTAATTACTCACAACACCTTGTATACCAAACAAATCTAAATCATACAGTCAGTTTTTATCAAATAGACATTGTCTTTTTCTTTTAAGATCTTTACGGCCACTACAAGCTAACGGATACTAAAAAAACTCATAAAATTATCTTTTCAGTTAGTTGTGCCAAACATACCTTACACGTATGATGAAAGTTGAACGATATAGAGTTAATTTGATTTGTCTCTTAAAAGAAAAAACTTCATATTGTTTTGAAATTTAGAAACATAAATTCAAACAAATACTTTGTATATTTTTAACCATAGATACACACACTCACCCTTTGGTTCATCTAAAAGATATCAATAACGTCGGTCAAACGATAAATTCTAATCTTTAAGGAAGCGATCCAACTCAGCTGTCGTCGACTCACTCCCTCATATACACTACAAAAAAACACGGGCGTAGTCACGGATTTAGTCACGGACTGCAGTGTAAAAATTCCGTGACTAAGGTGTTTAGTCACGGTCATCCGCCGTGACTAAATCCGTGTCTTAATTGGCGTGACTAAATGAAGTCACCGCCACATAACCGTGACTAAATTTAGTCACGGATTAGTCACGGTCAACGACCGTGACTATTTTCATGCCGGAAACCCCACTCCGACATGTTAGTCACGGCTTGTGACCGTGACTATAATTTTTTTAAAAAAATAAATATTAGTCACGGCTGTGGGCCGTGACTAATTTTTAAAATTTTCAAAATTTTCAAAAGACCGCCCGCGGGTGTAATCTAAAATTTTGAAATTAGTCACGGTTGTCAACCGTGACTAAGTTTTTAAAAAAAAAATAATGTTTTTTATTAAAAACAAATAATAATTTCGAATTAACTGTAGTCACGGATAAGGCCGTGACTACTATTTTTGTTTTGTAAAAAAAAAAAATTCCATTTTTTTTTAAAGTTGTTTTTAAAAATTACTTTTTAACACGTAGTTTTACAAATTAAATTTAAAAATGTTATTCTAATTTTTATCCATGTTTTTATACTATTGAATTATTGAAAATATTATTCTAATTTTTTAAATTTAAAATTACATTTTAAAGAGTAAAGACATACAACAAACTTAATAAATATTGTGACAAACTTTTAAATGTTTTGACAAACAACAAAGTACAAATGTATGATGATTACATGTCCCTTCGTGGGACTCCATTATGAAAAAAATTAGGATTTTCTTCTTCTTCTTCTTCATCATCATCATCAACAAGAAACTCATCTGGGTTCACGGGGGGGTCTTCGGGGTCAGGTCGGGTTCCTCCTCGGGGTGCTCCTCGGGGTCCTCCTCGGGGTGCTCCTCGGCCTCCATGGCTTGGTGTGCCACTACCTCCTCCGGATGACCTCGCAAAATCAAAGGACATAGATCCGAAATTCGGGGAGATCATAGGCATGCCACCATATCCGGAGTTGGGGAAAAATCTCATACCGCCCATGTGCGGAACTTGAGGAGTTTGCTCAGGGTGGAATACGTACGGGGGAGGAAAAGGCTGTTGCGGAGGCTGGAATCCGGCACGCATGTACCGTTCCATCTCCTCCAACCGGGCTTTTGTAGCCTCATCTGCTTTCCGCTGCTCCTCCCATCGCCGTTCGTGCTCCTCCAGTTCACGCTGCATTGTAGCAATACGGGGATCTTCTCCCCGCCTTGACCGAGAAGAGGAAGCGCCGGTGCTTCGATCATACAAAATCCGTTGCCCCTCGGCCCCCAAGCACGGAACCCGGCCCTTGTAAACCCCGGCCGCCTCATCATCCGCATCGGAATCGAGGTCGTCTTCCTGGGTCAAGCCTCGTGCCGCACGCTGCCTGTCAACGGATTCGTTGTACTTCGTCTGCATTTTCAAAAAATATTTTTGAAATGCTACATACTTAGATTTGATATGTTAATAAATAACAAAAT